ACCGCCACCTTCCAAAGTTAAAAAATAAAAAAAAATAAAAAATAAATTCAAAAACATGTTTCTTCCCAGACTACCACCTCCCTCGAAACCTAGCTAATACTATCATCCCAATCACCATTTTGCAGTCAAACATCCTAATTCGAATTCAACGCCACAAAATACAATTATCATTTTAGATTTAATTTATGCCCAGAGGAGATGGTTTCCAGCATAACATTATCGGTTCCCTTTCGGCCAAAAGTGACGGCCCCCTTCTGAATTTTGTATGCAACTATCTCTTGAATACCCTTGAGATTGTGGACAATTTGTCCAATTCTTCTATGAATGTTGAAGGATTCCTGTTGGAACACAAAGGCATTCTGCCAGTTTCACAATTTCCCAGCCACTACTCCAAATAAAATAGATCAGTCCTGTATGTTATTCTCACCACAATATGTAATTTTTTTCTTTCCTCAAAATATAGTTATTTGAGGAAGTTTAGATAGCTTTACGGGGAGCAGTTATTTGTAGGAAGTTGTAATTCACAATTTGACATCCCCAATGGAAAGAATCATAATATTAATTATCGACTCTATTCTTATTTGTCGAATAGCTGATCACTTATATCGTACCTTAGCAAAAAATTCAATATCATCGGCTGCTTGCTAAATGGAATTTCAGAAACGTGAGTCTAGCTCTCCAACCTACATTGTACACATATAGAAAGCAAGAAACCTTAAATTATTATCCAAACTCAAGTTTTGTGTACTCCACATCTCAAAGTTGACGCATGGATACATTTACTACTATTTATGGTTTTTAAGTATCAACCAATGGGTTTTAAGTACAATTTACGAAGCCCAATCCGTGGTGAAAATGTCTAAATTTGAGAAGTCACGTCAACCAATTTTGGTGTCTTTGAACACTTTATTTTGGGCATCGTCAATTAATAAAGCCAAGTATATAATTTTTCCAAACTTCTAAGTACATTTTAATAAAAAGACTTAAAGAAGGACGAAATTAGAAGAAATACAGTTTGTAGTTTTGAAGTGTATTTTCTTTTCTTTGATTTTGTAGTTTACAATTTCCAGAACTTATATGGTGTACTGTATGTGGTTCTCATTCGGTAGATAATTTGTTTCAGCTAGAATTTCAGGAAACTAATGTTGAGTTTTCATTATCATTATTATTACGTTAAAGTTATTTATACTTTTTCATTATTTAGAGTCTCCTTTTGGCAAGTTAACGTAGATTTTCTTTTTTTACTTATTATCTATATTTCTACTATATTGATCATAACATTTGAAGGATCCTTCACAAAAAGATGTAACACAATTTTCATTTAGTTTTACTTCTTGCTCATTCTCCAAAACAAAATTGGCCCATGTGTGTTCACCAAAACTTATTGTTAAGTACTCCCCTCTCGAGCCTCGCCATAAAATAAAAGCTACATACTATTAACTCTACATATTTGTTAGAGCGATTATACTTAAATTTTTTTTAGATTGTGTTTTTAGGGGGTTTTATATTAGAAATGTAAAAAGCGTATTGAAAATGTAAAATGTATACTGAGATGAGACTATCCATTTATAATTGACAAGTAATTTTGATAAATATGTTAATGTACGATATTTACATGGAAGTAGTGTTAATAAATATGTATCGTAAAATAAAAGAGAAAAACAATATTATCACTTAAATCTAATCGATTTGTTTTTTAAATGATAAAATATATCTCTTTAAAAACAGTTTTTTGATCAACAAAGCGGAATAGTTGGGTTTAAAATTTATTTGTTTTAAAGCAATTTTCCCAACAAACGCGCGGAATAGTTGGACTCTTGTTGAAATCTCGCTAGAATAAAATCCGACGAATTCAAACTATTTAGTTAAATAAATTAATCTTTAAAAAATGTAAAAATATTAAATTAGAAATTTACGTAAAATATTAGAGTGATGCTTCCGTAAATTATTTTGAAATATATTTTTGTTTTCTAAATAATCCGGATAATCATTTACAGAGATTTAAAATCCCTTTTACCCTATTAAAGCAGAAAACAGGACGCTGATGTGGCAATTTTTTATTAAAATGTTTTGGCTCCAAATGCACCATATTGCATAAATCATTCTGCCACGTGTAACATCCTTTTAAAAATAAAAAATATATTTACAATATTAACGAAGAGATCAGATGGCCATGTTCATTCAAATTTTGAATTTGACAGTGTATGGAATTTTCCTTCTCCATTTATTTAGGACTTCTGAAAAAATTAATTTTCGGTCAATCAATTGTTTTCATCAAAAACTAAATTCATTCCTAATCAGTTTTGATTATTTACATATCAATTTATTAGGTGGGACGCCCCCGGGCATTTGCCCGGGGCAAGCATCTAGTTATAAATTACACCAGAGTTCTTATGTCGTGCACATGTTTCACCATATATGGTGCACTCTCAATCCTCTTTCCATATTTAATATCATATATCATATATTCAAACCAATTACGTGATAAGAAAAAAATTCAAAAAGAAAGAAATATTTATTTATTAATATATTTCTTTTCATACAAAAAACTAAAGGTTCATAATCATACAATGTAAAGTTCATTAATGATAAACATATTTTTCATATCAATTATATATATAAAAAATTCATATCTTTTAATTAAAAAATTGTACACATAATTATAAATTAAAGGTTGTAATATTTTTAATCTTCTATTCACACATACAACTACGACTATTCATGAAGATTATGCTAAATGTTAATATAAATTAGCGAAATTTTAAAATATTAATCATGTGTACAATAAATGTTCATACTCTTTTCCTGAAATATTCGTGAATAACAATGATACTTTTCATATCATATCATGTGTTTCTAAATTTCACATTTTTTTTAGAGAATTGAAAGACTAATGCAAATAAGCAGTATATATTCATACCTATATAAAATAATGTTCATGAGAATTATGTAAATTTTAATACAAAGAACATAAAAAATCCTTATATATATAGTTCATACTCATTCTATGAAAAATTCATGAGTTATAGTAATATTGTTCATGACATATATATCAAAATTTCATGATATTTTATTAAATTTAAATTGTTCCTAATTTTCAAACTACGTCACTAATTATGACTAGAGGAAAGAGTCAGTAATTATGAATAGAAGAAAGAGTTACAAAATTATTAGAATATTATTTTTGTTATATTTGAAAGAATTATATGAGAAATTATATGATGAAAGATAATGAATTGATTTAATAAATTTCTCTTAATTTTTCATTCCATAAATTGTATTAATTAGACAAGTGCCTATCCTAAAATTAGAAAACATTGAGTGATTATCCATTGTTTTCGCAACACGATAATTGCAAACGTTTTAAATTATTGACCGATGGGATTATATTAGGGGATAATCTTAACTATTGAATTTATTTTTGAATCATTTCGAAAACAATTTGTGAAATTTCATCTTTGTAGTATTTAAGTTAGTTAAGGAAAGTTCCAGCCAGTAACCCATTATCTCATAATCTCATCGCATTTCCCACTCGATTTTAAAATGGTGAAGAAATCATTATAAATAAGCTTGCTAATTTGCAAATACCTTTAAACTGAACTAGATGCTTGTCCCGGGCAAATGCCCGGGGGCGTCCTTTCACCTAATAAATTAATATATAAATAATCAAAACTGATTAGCAATGCATTTAGTTTTTGATGAAGATAATTGATTGACCGAAAATTAAGTTTTTCGAAAGTCGTAAATAAGTGGAGAAAGAAAGTTCTATTCACTGTCAAATTCAAAATTTAAATGAACATGGCCATCTAATCTCTTCGTTAATATTGTAAATATATTTTTTGTTTTTAAAAGGGGGTGACACGTGTCAGAATAGTTTATGCAATATGGTGCATTTGGAGCCAAAATATTTTAATACAAAATTGCCATATCAACATCCTGTTTTCTGCTTTAATAGAGTAAAAGGGATTAATCTGGTAATTTAAATTATTTTTTGAATGATTATTGATGATATATTCGACATGTTATTCTTTATGGCCAACTTTAATCATGAGTATCTTTTGCGTTCACCATGATTTTTTTTTTTTTAACTCCATTATTCATGAAGGTGGCTTATATGGGCCCAAATTCTTATGGTTATTGCCTATAACTAAGTGCGCAAGGGAGACACAATTTAATTATCATTGGCAAGGAAAAAAATAAAAGGAAAAATCAGGTGAAATATCTTTCTGTTTTAGTTTTTAGTAAAATAATAGATTGATAAAACAATAAAGGGGATATTGTTTGATATAAGTGAACGTAGACTTCTACCCCATTACTGGTTCTTGGGTCCTTTAGTTTTTTTTACATAATGAGGATGCTAATGCCTGGAATTATAACTTTTAACCAATCTACAATTTTATTAAGCATTTAAGATTTGCTAAACTGAGTAATTCTATAGCTAGGTCCAAGAAATAATCATCCTATTGAGCATGATCAGGCCGGATAAAAAAAGAAAATCACTAAACGGAAAAAATAATAAAGAGACCTAAATGGGCGAGAAATGGGGTGAGTGCTGAAAACCGCTTTCATTCGCAGGAAAACTAATAAATACGGAGATATAAAACCGCTTTCATTATTCTGCTGAGTGCTGAGAAATGGGCGAAATGAGACCTAAATGTCTCTTGATACAAATTATTGAAAGACTAAGAAGTTTCGGAGAGGATGAATTGACTGGAGTTTCGTCAGCAACATGCTTCGATTTTGAAGATGAAAATGGCAAATAAATTGTGCCCTTATTGGATGTACTAATAATATATTAAGATTGTACTAAAATTAAAAAATTGAGACAGAACAATTATTTAGAATAGATGTATAAAAATTAAACAATTCTTTCCGGGTTGGAGAAAAAATATAGTCTTGCCTAATTGTAGATTAACTAATTTGTTGTCAAACCTAACCACAAGTAACCAACAAATAGAGACTGAAACTTTTTGGTTCCGATTAATCTGAATGAGATTAACCAAAAAGGTGCCGAAGCTTAGGCGTTAGATGAAGTTAGGAAGGAAAATCTTTGCACATTCCTTTTACAACATTACAGAACAAAAAGATCAACACTCGACCAGAAGATGAATGTTATCCTGAGAATCTTAGGCGACAAAGAATTCAAGCACCAGAAATGATGGATTCATTAACAATCCCCAGAAATCTTCTTTACTATTTCCAACATTTGTTAGTACTTTGTTTTGTTTTGATGTTACCAGATATTGTTAATACCTCCAAATTCGACCATAACCATCTCCTGATATACAATCACTGTGAAAACCAGACGTCAGTTGATCATCATCCTGATTCTGTATCGTTAATTCTTTCACAACTTTTTCAAGAGCTCCAGGAAAAATCATCTACATCAAAGTTCTTTCAGACAAATGCAGGTGATGACAAAATAGCCGTATCCGGCTTGTTTCAGTGCAGGGGTGATTTGAGTAATGATGATTGTTACAGCTGTGTGAATAAACTTCCTGAAGTTTCAAGCCGGTTATGTGGCGCGAGCTTGCCCGCTAGAGTTCAGCTCGCAGGTTGCAGGATGAACTACCAGGCTGAGGGAGTTCATACCACGAGGCGGTTACAATTGCTTCACAAGACTTGCAGCTTAGAACAAGGGTTGTACGGATTCCAGGAGAAAAGGGATGCAGCATTTGTGGCTGTCCAAGAATGTATTTTGTCCAGTCCAAATCAATATTGTGATCAGATCTGCGAATCTGTTCATGTTATGGCGCAATGTGACGGGAATTTAGGAGAATGTGATTGCGGTAAATGCGTGACTACTGCAATTAATATCGTTCAAGAAGAATGCGGCTACTCATTAGCCGGAGAGGTCTACCTGGAAGGTTGCTCCCTGAGCTATGGTTATCAAGAGCATGGGATAGTTGGTTATGATGGAGGTATATTAAATTGTCGTTTGCTCCCTTATACTATTTGGTACTTTCAATAACAGATTTTGATTTTACTGTAACACTGTTGTTGGATAAAGGGCGATTTGGAGGCAGTTCGACCAAAATAGTAGCTATCGTTATTGGTGGAATAGCTGCAGTGGTGTTAGGAGCAGGACTCTGCTATATATGCCGAGGGGGTAGGCATAAGGATGGTAAGTAGCAACTTCTTGCATAGATTCAGAGAGTATTTTGTCCCATTGTGCTTTTTCAATGTTTCTGCCTTACAGGATATTCCGGATGCCTAATGCATTGCTTCCTGATCAATAATATGTTATTGTGCAGAGTTCTGAAAGGAGTTCTTCGAAAGGAAAAGCGCTTTTCTCAGAAGTGATTGTAGCTCTCCACAGTATAAGTATTCGTCGACTTTCATGCAATGTTGGCAGGTTTTCCACTTGTAAGAGCAGTGTAGTTTCCTTTGTCCACCAATCGATTTCAGATGTATTATCTTATGTACAATGGAATTCTATGTACAATGAACTGATGTTTCAAAGCCTCCAAGAACAATTTTTGTAGCAGCACTAATTGACCTATCTCCAAGTTAACAACGTAAGTACTTGATCAAAGCATTGTAATCTATCAAACAGTGAATTACATTTGACAAAGTGGTTCTTCCATGACAAAGTAGAAGAAAGCTGTGAAAAATTAAAATATGTACTCAAAGATATATATAAGACAGGTACATTATACAGGGCGAAAAAACTTTAGAAAGCTAAGACAGACACAGTCCTTATCACGAAATCGGAACTTTGGAAAGCCATGTGAGTACAATACACAGTTAGCTAGGCGATCAAAATAACCTGTACATCCAGAACTATAGAGTTCATATGTGAAACCTGTGCATTCTAGAATCAGGATGCGTAACATGCAATTTCTCGTGACGGGGAATCTTTGGTATGGTATTCTTTGCGGTCTTTGACCCATATGCAAAAGTGAACTCAAAACCTTTGCCAAAACACGAAAACAATCCCCCTCCTGCTCCTTTTCCACCTGAATTCTTTCTTCGTTTTGGTCGCGAAGGTTTATGGCCCTGTTGCACTTTTGGCATAAGGGGTGTTTTTTCTATCACAATGGGTGCTTTGTCTATCTTCAGGGGTGGTTTTTCATCCGTTGGCATAAGGATATCGCTGTCTAATGTTGAGGAAGTTGTACTCTCCATTCGCCATTTTCCATCTCTTGATCTCAATCCAACAGAATTGCGATCACTAGGCTCGCTCCAATTCTCGAATATTGAACTTCCATACTCATCCCCGTCTGCAGCATAAAATCCTTTCTTTAGACTCAATGCCACCTCTGATGGTAAAGGATGCATGATGGTAACTGATGATACATGGGTTGAGGCAAAACTTTTGTTCTTTAGCATTGTTTTCAATCCACCTTTCGACTCCTTTCCGTCTTTCTTTATTGAAATCTCACCATATCCATGGACAGAAGGTTGTTTTTGAAGTACTGGATTCACCGTCTCATCTACCTTTTCAATTTCTTTCTCAGAATCTCTTATGCTGTTTTGTTTTTCAAGACTCGGGTCATCATCCTTCTCCGAACTGTCCTGATTCTCAATCGCCAAAGCGCTTAATTCGCTCGCCAAGGGACTGGGCGGAACATTGTTGTCAATAAGGCTAACTCCAACATGGAGAATCCCCTGGAGGTGCCCTGTTGGTCTACGAATATAAAGAGAAACAGGCCGCGTAGCGGGGCTATTCTGCACTAGAGGCGGCGCGATGTGGTTGATGAAAAGATATGCAGTTCCAATGGGAAGGTCACGAAGCCAGGCGACATTGTAGATTTCAAATGTTACACAAGCTGTTTCATTGCGAAGAAATTTGTCATCAACCCGGAAAACCAATTTGTAATTCCAGGTGGGATTGGTGTGGCCGTGATGATCGATTCTCGTGCTTAGCTTTTGATCGGGATGAATCCAGGCAACGGTAAACGTGCGTAACATCTTGGAAACAGGCGGGAGCTCCTGCGCGGAAGAGACAATGATCTCTAGGATCTTGAAAGGAGGCTGAGTAACAGCCATTTTTTTTTCACTTTCCAGGCAAAAAATGGATCAATTGGCAGAATATCGCTGGAAAGAGAAATGAGAAAAATCCCTCCTATCTGCCAAGATTGTAAGACTGCATTTATTTTTCCAATAATAGAATGTTTACAGGGAAGCAAGTGCAAAAGCTCGGGGACTAGAAGGCCTCCCATAATCATAAAACCACGATTATAATTCAATAGGCAGTGCTTTTTTTTCGAGAAGCAGATTTTGGACCGCAAACTGCTTTAGAATGATCACATCTAATAAGACCCGAAATCGTGGAGCCATCACTAAATTCTAAATTTATCTTAGGCCTTATGTGTGAATCACAAACGTGTCATTTTTCGAATTAGATTCATATTTTATCGCAAACGACTCTAACTATATACAATCTGTACAAGGAAATTTATTAGTACAATATAATGTATATTATTATTATTGTTTTTTCTTGTTCCATTTCAACCAAGGATCAAATGGTCTAGATTGAAAATACAGTATATGTGGGAGTAAGGTGTATAATTTTTTCGTACCATCAAATCTGTAGGGAAAAAATAGTGGTTTAGAAACATCAACAGCAACAAACTTCCATAACAGCTCCCCAAGCCATTTGCATCTTCAACAAAATACTACACAGCAATATCTCTCTCTTTCTTTCTCCCTCCTACCTACATTGTTGAAACCTCTCTGACCAGTGGTCCTCAGGGCGGTGGACGGCGAAAATGGATCCCACGATTCCGACACCAACCGCCTCCTCCACCGTCACCAACTCCGATGTTAGCTCATCAATGCCGACTTTCTACGTCTTGGACATCAGCCTGATATCCGCCCAAGATTTAGCCCATGTATCCAAATCAATGCGCACGTATGCAATCACCTGGATTCATCCTTCCCGGAAATTAACCTCCCGGGTTGATCAACAAAGCCATAAAAATCCCCTGTGGAACGATAGATTTGCATTCAGGGTGGATTCAGACTTCCTGGAGTCGGATCAGGCGGAGGTTACGGTTGAAATTTACACGGTTTCCTGGTTCAGGGATGTGCTTGTAGGCACGGTTAAGGTCCTGATCAGCGACCTGATTACCCCGTCAGCGAGAAATGGTACCCGATACGTTGCTCTTCAGGTTCGTCGGCCCTCAGGTAATCCTCAGGGAATACTCAACATGGGTGTTTCCCTGATGGATGCCACCAACAGAAGCATGCACCTTTTGGGAGAAATTAATCCGCTGATTGTGGATTATCAAGACGAATTGGCTAAGAAAATGAATAGGAAGGCAAGCCTGAAGGATAAATTAGGTGATGATGACAATTTATATGATGATATGGCTGATGAAGTAAATGAGAAAGTCCATCTATGGAGGGCTTATAACGCTGGAATTACTGAGTTTAATGACAAAGAAGGATCAATGGTAAACGGTTCATCAATGTGCAATGGTGAAGCAGGGATGGGATCAGAGTTATGTTCCGATGTTGGGCCATCTGCCTCGGTTGTGGCTGCTGAAATCGCACGGCATTCGCTGCCACCCCTGGCGGAAAAATCACAAACGGCGCATCCTCCTTCCAAAGCCAAAGCTGATCCTCATAAAAATAATAATGTGGAAGATTTTGGCAGCTCGATTGTGGAAGAAATGACGGTAGAGGAAGCGACGGCTAAAGGGTTGAAAGCCAACTCGGGAATATTGAAAAAAGAAGTGTCGCTTCCACCTAAACAGGGCGGAAAAATGGATAGAAGCAAATCGGACACAGGACAACATTCGCGAAGGCATTCGGATGGAGGGCTGTTTTCTTGCTTTGGGAATGCATATGGTTTCGAGTTCGGGATTGTATGTGGAGCAAGTAATCATGGTAACAAGCCAAATATTAGCAAGAGCAGCAGATCTAGTTCCAAAAGGAGGATTGTGGGCAGCGAGACAAATTCAGCTTAGGCCATTAATAGGGCTAACAACACAAATCAAGTATAGTGTGTGTGTGTGTGTGTGTGATTAATTTAGTAGTGTTCAAAATGTAAAGGAGATTAAGAACAAGAATAAAAATGTTGCTCGTCTCAGAGAAAACAAATCTCCAATTTGTTGAATGTGAGTTTCAGCCAGCGACTTTTTCTTCTAATAGTAGTTCTGATATATACCTTCAACTTCCTTCCAAATTAATTACTTAAATGATGACTTCTATGTTCATGTAAAAAAATGCAGAATCGCTTCTCCTTACTTCTAATAGTCCTTTAAAAAGTTCTGCTTATTCTTTCATATTTCTTCCAAAACTAAAGTTACAGATCCATCATCAGCGACTTTTTGGAACAATTGATCATGGCAATCCTTCACAAGCAGTAATGTAAATGCATGAAATTCAGTGATCACAGTCTTCATTAGTTTTCGAATTACAAAAGATTTAAGCCCAATTCATCTGTACTTTGTGAACTAACTTATGTATAGTTTGATGAAAAAAGATCAAACAACAGGTTACAGAGAAGAAGCTGTTGAAATATTCTTTCCATCATTATTTATCCTTCAAATCAGTCATCCTTGTCGCGCTGCTGCTGCTGTTCATATCATCATCACGTCCGATTCTAATCTAATCCATTCGATCATTTAAGATATGACTGAAGATTGTTAACAAAGGGATGAAGCAACAGTGTTTTGGCTGATGATCTATTCGCCGCCGATTTTCTCAAACAACACCTCAGGAAATCACGAGCATCTGACGATATGCCTCCAGGAATCTCAGGCACAGAATCACCCTTTCGAATCTTTTCCAGGACCGCTTCCTTCCCACCTGTCTGATGTTCAACCTCCCACGGACGCTGTCCAGACAACATCTCAAGCACGACGCATCCAAGCGCCCACATATCACTAGCCGGTTCTTGCACGCCGTCCCTTACGGCTTCTGGAGACAAGTACCTAACCGTACCCCTCCACCTATTCTTCTTCTCGGTTTTCTCGGATTCCCGCTTCCTCTTCTGATTTCGCTGTAGCGGTGCAGCCTTTTTCGCCAACCCGAAATCGCAAATCTTCGCCATAGACAGTACCTTCCCGCTTGGTGTCATCCTCCAGGGCACCAGCAATATATTTCCAGGCTTGAGATCACAATGCACGAACCCGACTTCATGAATATAAAACAATCCTTGAAGAATCGATATCGTGTACCATCTCACTTCCAATTCCGACATCTTATTATTATCGTTTCCTGGAGAACTGTGAATCCTGGTGGCAAGACTCCCACCAGAACCATATTCCAGGAGCAGGTTATAAACTAGATTTCCATCGCTTCGGGTTGTGGTTTCTTCTCCATAACATTGGATTATATATGGGGAGCCTACCATATATGATAGTATCTTTTTCTCAGCTTTGAGCGATTTTGACTTGGAAGCATCAGCTGATTTTACTGCAATATACCTCGGGGGATTATATGAACTCAGCAGCCCTAGAAAAACCGCTCCGTGACCGCCTTTTCCGAGCAAAGTGCCTCGGCGCCATTGGTTTCCGTCGCCCCAACAAGTTTTAAGATCCACCTTCATCCTTGAAGGAGTCTTCTTCTGAAAAAACTATGTAGTGAAAGAAAAGAATGGAAATTTATGAAGAGAAGAAGATATGAACTTATTCAACTTTTGAGAACTCTTTGATACATATTTATAATAAGGGTGATGATATTGCCAAAACAAAAATTAACATCTAAAACAAAATAATTTTAAATTACCCAATATAGCCTTATTAGTCAAACAACCCTTGGAAGACTAAAGAACAATAATTCTTCAGTATTATGTTTATGAAACACTAAAAGAGGTACATCTGCATTAATTGTGAAATTGAGAATTCAAGAAATTTTTGGGGCAAAAAATAATAAAAACTTACAGTGGTTTTTTGATAGAGAGAGAGAGGGAGAGAAGGCTGGATGAGCGAGAGAGAGAAAGAGAGATTATGATGAGAGAGAGACGCGAAAAAACAACACAGAGATGGTAGAGAGAGAAAGAGAAGAAGTATTAGGGAAAAGCAACAAAAAAAAAAAAAAAAGAATATAACTCTGAAAAAGGTTTTTTGTACGGCACCAAGGATTGAAAACCATAATAGGATAGAGACGGCTTCTTATTTTATGGATGGGCTTTTTTCCCCCAATTTTTATCAGTTCTTTTTTTATTTACTTATTTATTTTAGGAGTTGTATGTATGTATATTCTTCTTTCTTCTTTCTTCTTTTTTTTTTTTTTAAAGAAAAGTTTGTATTGCGCTGGAAATTTAATTCTACCAAATATATTATACTACTACTATTTTTTCTTGTAATTGTATCGTGATCAAGTTATAACTCAAGTTAATAATTTAGTAATTTCATTATTAATTTTAAATTTATACCATATGTTCAAACAAAAAATCATACTACATGTGTTCATTTCCTAAACAAACACCTAAATTTGTTGATGTTGTTTGTTATAATGTCAACTAGATGCTTGGCCCGAACAGATGCCCGGAGGCCCCTCTACTTTAATTTTGTGTTAATAGATAAATAAATTTTTGATTTGAAAAAACTAAAATAGCTACGCATTTGGTGTTTTTTTCCCCTTTTTTAGCCAAAAATAAAAATAAAAAGATCATCTGCCAAAGGAGAAAAAATATTAAAAAGTACAACGATACAGAAATCATACAAAATAATGTGAAGTAATAAAGGGGATAAGTTTATGGCAAATTGAAATGCTATTTTAATTTGATTGATAAATAATAAATGTTATGAGTTAAAATTGTGTAGCTATTTTTGTAAAGTAGATTTTGTTTTTCCGGATAAGAATTTTTTTTCCTTTTAAAAAGGAATGACACGTGGCAGAATGGTTAGTGCAATATGGTGCATTTGGAGCCAAAAATTTTTAATAAGAATCTGCCACATCAACATCCTGTATTCTCAATTTATTACTCCACATTCTTTTGTATGATTTCTGCATCGGTGTACTTTTTAATATTTTTTCTTCTTTTGCAGATAATTTTTTATTTTTATTTTTTTTTTGGCTAAAAAAGGGAAAAAATAAATGTGTAGCTATTTTTTCCAAATCAAAAATTTATTTATCTATTAACACAAAATTAAAGTAGAGGGGGCGCCCGGGCATCTGCCTGGGCCAAGCATCTAGTTTATATTAAGGGTGATGATATTGCCAAAACAAAAATTAGCATCCAAAACAAAATAATTTTAAATTACCCAATATAGCCTTATTAGTCAAACAACCCTTGGAAGACTAAAGAACAATAATTCTTCAGTATATGTTTATGAAACACTAAAACAGAATCAAAACGTCCAAAGCTTCAGCTATACTAAACACGAAAGCAATTCCTTAAGCCATAACAATAAATTAACAAAAATTGATCCACCTAAACGAAATTGAATACCGAAACCAAAAACCGAAGAATCAATTCAAAAATGAACCAAAACCAAAACCTTTAGATCCCTCAAACAACTCACATCCTTTTAAAATATCATAAACATTGGCAATTAAATAATCTTATTTAATCCCAAATAATCAAACATCATCCCCATCATTACTAGAACCATTTAAAGGAAAGTCGATTTCTGGAAGGGGAAGGGGACTTCTTGGTTCAATGAAGCTTGACTATTAAAAAAATATAAGAATACAAATACATCTGGAAAGAGTAGATTCATGGGACTCAATTGGACAGAATTGATTTATAATTATTATTCGTATTTAGAGTGATTAAATTAGACAAAGAAACTTAAGTGCTTCATTCATGAACATAATAAATAAAACTAGACCTATGAACAAAGAAATTATCGCCACATTCAAGACACACGAGAGAACAATTTTCTGCTATTTTTTTTTATTTTTGCTTTTAATTAGAGTCATTTTGAAGCACAAAGTGGCTTTTAAAATTTTTGGGTGCTGAGAATTGTTAGAGATTTTGAAAAAGAATCAGTAGAGAAATTGGACATAATATAAATAGAAATAAGAAAATTTGCTGAAATGAACACATAGCTGCAGAGATAGAGTGAACATGTAGGAAAGAAAAAGATATACATGCTGATAAGATAGTGGAGAAAAGATTGGAGGAGTTGAGGGGCGGCGGCCTTGATAGAGAGTTGGAGATTTGAAGTTAGAAGTGAAAATAGGTTTGACTTGATTAGTAAGGGTAGTTTAGAAAACTCACAAATATTTTGTTTTGGATACTAATTATTGTTTTGGCAGTATCATCACCCTTATATTAATAAGTATAATTCGTTCAACTGTTTATTGGGCGATTAGAATCGCCGACTAGGGTTTTAATATCCACCGTCATACGTCTGAATAGAGCTGGCAAGAATAACCACGGACTTGCTACCCATCCAAATCCCATTGGACTGTAGTCCATAAATGTCCATCCATTTAAAATACTGGGCTTGGATAGATCTGGATAAAAAGTTATTTGGATGGGTATGGGTAGCCCACGGTTACCCATCGGGTAGTCTATTGGATTTTCAAACTATACAATCATCATTTAAGTAGGCAATGACCCGACCCAACCTAACCCATTTAAGGAAAGATCATATACGGGCTGGGTCATGACGAGTTGGCATGGGTTGTGAGTCAACTGATTTACTATAAAATTTTTACCTGCGGGTTGACCCATACATAAAATTACTTTTTAACAATGGTATGTTTTATAACTTAATGGACTTCAAGTTTTTACATTTACGGCAAGTATAAATGGGTCAATCCATGCATTGAGGTGGATCAACCCAGTAACCATGTCATGATACACGAGTCAAATTCAAATTCGTTGAATTTCAAATATTCACGTTTCAAGCAATAGTTAACTGGGTCGAGTTGGGTCGACCCAATAACCGGGCCACGATATATGGGTCTAATTTTGATTTTTTTGTTAAATAAAGTACAAACATGAATTTAATATAGTAGAATAATAAGTTTTATGTTTCACATCAAGTTTTAACGGGTCGATCCAATATTTGGGTTACATTTGAATTTTTTTCAAATAAAATTTACGCTTGTATTTTCCAACTTATTGGTGAAAGAATTAATTTATTATTTTTTAATTTAGTTGGACTCATATTTGTTACATTGTTAACATATATATTTATGTTAAAAAGTCCACTAAACGTATTTATGGATATCCATGGCTACGTATTCATGGATATCCATAGATACCCATGGATACTCATGGGTATTTAATACCCATCTATATAAGTCCATCAAATTTAATGGATATGGATGGGTATTTACCCATTAAGCTAATAACCATTAAAAACCAATCTCAAGTAGTCCAAATCTGCCCATTTGTCAGCTTCACATCCGAAAGCAGAAGGGATTAGTATTTTCATGTCACGATATGATTGATTATTATTTGGCAATTGCGAGCTGCTTTGCGTTAACATTAACTCCTCAAAATCTAAGTTCGTTTTGGACTGGGTTAGAGAGTCGAGTCCAATAAAATCTGTAACAAAATTTAATATTCCTTCCATTATTACGAACTCTTCAAGGATTTTTTTTTTCAATTTTACTTATGGGACTATTTATCCCGAAACGAGGTAAGTATAAAACACATATCCTTCATACTCCCACTGATGTTTATCATAAGGCATTTTAATTTTTTCCTAGATTTCACTTAAAATATCTTTTCGATTGAAAAACAAATCTTAAAAATATATTTTTACATTCATAGTGTTCTTCTAATTATTAGAAAATATTTTTAAGGTTTTTATTTTCAAATTTGATTCCCCATTAATAAATGAAAAGAAATAGTTGTTAAACTAACATGATCATTGTCCTCTGATTCACATAATGTGTCATATACGATAGTTAATAATAAGATAAACGTCCCAAAGAGATAGAGCAAACTTTGGGAGAAGGATGGGAATTTGTGAATGTGAAAGTCAAGTTTGAGTTATGTTGAGAGGTGTCAACACTTTCAAGTTTCTAAATCGTTCAATGATGCAATTTAGAGCAATTACCCAATGACACATTAATTCACTCGGTCTCATCTGTAAATTGGATGGCTTGTTAATCTTTTAACTGAAAAAGTAACACCAAGAAACAATTAATAAAAATAATTTCATGTTCATTTATTAAATTTATAATAATTTTTAAGCAATTATAATATAGAGCTCCTAGGTACACTTGCAAGGTGTACCTAGGGTGGCTTTCACGTTCCCAAAAAAAAAGGTAAAAAAAAAAGGATTTTCAAATCTTTAATTTTTTAATATTTCTCCCAATTATCAGCCATCATTAATCATATTTAACTTCCTATTCTAATTCAAAGACATCTCAAACTAAAAAAATCATTTTTCATTCAGTATCAAATTTCAAGATTGGAATTTTCTTAGCGGCTGCGATATCGAAATCAACTTTGTGCATAAAAAATCTGGGTTTTATAATCCAGTAAATTCAAAATAAAATGAGTATTGAGGTAATAAATCATCTTATTCACTTGTTTTGTTGGTTTTTTATTCTTTTGGTTTGTTTATGAAATCGAATTGTTCATTAATTTTCACATATTCGTGTAGAAGGATGGAACAATCAATCCTCAAACCAAGAAACCCTCTTCAAAAGCCCATATGGGAATTAGGTAATCGTTGTTAATACCTTC